AAGACATAGTGATATATTATTTAGAAATATGAAGGTAAATACCAAAAGAATTGGCCAAAAAAAAAAAAAAAAAGTTTTAAAAGTGCTTCCTCTTAGAGAGGGGAAATATGGGCTATAACACCCACCTTGTCCAATATTATACCCTTCCTGAGGCCTGAGCAAAGTGAGGAGATAAAGGCCCAACCAATTTGGTCCACCATGGCACCAACTATGATGGGCAATATTCTGGAGAACTGAATTTGTGATAAATAGATTTTTAATAATAAGCCATGTAGAAGTAATTAATACTTCAAAGCATGTGTTCTTTTACATTCGTAACTGTTAAGGAGCACAGACTGCATGAAAATATTTTCTAAATTTTAATTAACTTGGCTTCTGATACTGTAGAAGCCAATATAATTTAAACATTTTTAGCCTAATATATGACTTAATTTTGCCTAGAAGTAGAAACATCTTTAAATCAAATCTCAAAATTTGCTCTTCTGGTAAGTGGCCTGAGGTGACCTCTGAAAACGGTTAGCTATTCGCCTGACCTGGAAAACCCCACAAAATTATGCAAATCAAGAGGTTCAAATCTTCGTGTTCACTTTAAGAACATCTGTGAAACTGCCCAGGCCATCAAGGGTATGCATATCTGAAAGGCTACCAAGAATCTGAAGGATGTCACTTTATAGAAGCAAGGTGTGCCATTCCCCGGTAACAATGGTGGAGCTGGTAGGTAGGTATGCCCAGGTCAAACAATGGGGCTAGACACAGGGTCACTGGCCTAAAAAGACTGCTGAATTTTTGCTGCACTTGCAGATAGTAATGCTAAACTTACGGGTTTAGATGTAGATTCTCTGGTTACTGAAGACATCCAGGTGAACAAAGCCATCAAGATGCCACACAGAACTTACAGAGCTCGTGGGCAGATTAACCCATACATGAGCTCTCCTTGCCACATTGAGATGATCCTTACTAAAAAAGAGCAGATGGTTCCTAAACAGAAACAGGTTGCGAAGAAGAAAAAGATATCCCTGAAGAAACAAAATTTATGGCCTGGGAGTAAATTTAGCATCAAATAAATTCTAATAAAAATAAAAAAGAAAATCTCAAAATTCAAAAATAAGAGTATAAGGGTTCTATTAATGGTAATGGCAGACAGGAAAAAAAAACTGCTGAAGTCAGCCAAAAAAACCTTCCCAATAAAAAAATAAATAAGATAGTATGAAATACATTCCAAAATCTAGGAGGTAAACCAGAGAAACCATACCCTCAGTCACTTTGTCCTGAAGCCTTTTGCCCACTAAGACAAAAAGGCTGAGAAACAAGAAGGTTGACGAGCTACTGGTGGCTTTGCTGAGCATGGGGCAAAAAACCAAAGCACAGGATCCACCAAACCTGGGGTCTCATATAAACCATCACCCAACTTTAAGGGCAACATCATCAGGATAAGGGAGTAGTGGAAGTAAAACAGAACTCGCATGACTCATATGACTTGAGGCCCTGCTTCATGTCATTTGTATAACAGAAGAAATCCCAAGTCTTGAACACGACTAACTTGGGACTGGTAGCATCTTGAAGCACCTTTCCTACAAAAACATGCCTTCTTGAGAAAGATATTATCTTAGGACTTATATGCTATTTCTATATTTTTTCAAATACAACAACCAGCACACAGGCACACAAGAAAAAAAAATCATGAACTAGCAGAAACAGACCCATAAAAAATTCAGAAACTATAATTATCAGTCACAAACCAAAAAAATAAATAAATAAAAATAAAAGTAAAAAACTATGAATAGTAGGTCAACGACACCCACAATTGTAATTTTTAGCAAGTAGCTAAAAACAGTAAGAAGGAACATAGGTGATATATTTCTTAAAAAGACACTGAGCTACAGAATTAAGAATCCCAGTGAACACAAAACAGGAAAAAGATTTCCACATGAAAACATTATGAAGATAGAGCAAAAAACCTAAGACAAAAAAACAAAACATTTTTAAAAGCAGGTTTCTTTCAAAGGACCAAGATTTAGAGTGACAGCTGACTTTCCAAATCAATACTGAAAGCCAAAACACAGTGGAACATTATCTTTGAGGTGCTGAAAAACAACCATAACCAATTTTACAATTTAATATCCCCAAAACATTCAACTTTGAAGGAAAACAAAGACACTGTAAGCAAAAAATTAAGAAAATTGGCCATTAGCACACCTGTATTAGATAACTTCTGAAGACTGTACTCAATAAAAGGAAAAAAATACCCAAAGAAAATTCAGAGACGCAAAAGAAATTAAGAACACGGACAGTAGTAAATTTATAGGGATATGTACTCAACATTGACAGTAGAGAACTGTGCTCTCCAACAGAAATACAATACTACCAATATAATTAAAAAATCTTTCAATATCCACATTAAAAAAAGGTGAAATTAATTTATTATAATTTCAACATAATCATAGCAAGATGAATTAATTTACATTGTTTTTCTACTAAGTCTTAGAAATCTGGTGTTTATTTGACATTTACAGAACGTGATAATTCAGATGCTAAATGGTCATCAAAAATACTTAATCTTTATTTTTATATAAGTTTACAGTTGAGAAAGTAATTTACATACCTAAGTTGTTCCAAACATATTTAAGGGTTTTTAGACAAATGAATCAAGTATTAATTGTCAATTTTAAATTAAAACTGCATAAAACCAAAAATTCAGTTCCACAGTAACACTAGCTATATTTTAAATGTTCAAAAACACATATAGATGTCGCTACTCTATTGGATAAAGCCTTTTTGCTGGAGTTAAAATTACAAATAACATTCAAATAACAACAACAATAGCATATAAACCAGTAAGAAACAAAATGGAGATAAAGTTATCCAGGAAGTGAGAAATGATCTAAGCACACAAAAATATTTGCCAGACTGCTCAAATCTTTAAAACTTAGAAAACTTAACAGAAAGACTGTGAAAAAGGTTTAAAGACAATTCAAAGAGGAGGAGATCCGAATAGCTAATAAATTTTTTTTAAAGTGCTTAATTGCATTAATAACCAGGGACTGTAAATTAAAACAATAATATAAAGCTACATTCATTAGTTTGGCAAAAACAGAAAATGGGAACTGTTGGTAAGACTGTAGAAAAAAGGGATCCATCATCTACTGCCGGTGGGGGATTAAATTGATATATCCACTTTGGAAAAGTTTGGCATAATCATACTCTACAAAATGGCATGCTAGTGCATAAAAATAACATGTTTCAGATCTTTCATAGTAGCATTGTTCATAATTGCTAAAAACTGGACACAATTTAAATGTTCATTAATATTAGACTAGTTAACTGTGGTTTGTTAGTAAAAAGACTAATAACACGACACTATAGACATTACTATACATGAACTAAAGCTAAGGGTACCAACATGGTTAAATATTAGCAACATGAGAGAAAATAACATAATTTACATATAGGTAAAATACAAGCAAAACTGACCTATATTGTTTAGGAATGTCGACATAGGTGGTTTAATAAAGTTGAAATAAAAGTAGGAAATAATTACCATAAAAATCCAAATATTGTAAATTTCTGGGAGTGGTGAGGAGAAAGGAAAGATCAGGAATGGCGGGAGGAGTATGTTTCCAGTGCCACCAATGTTCTAGTTCTTGATTTTGGTACTGATAACAGTGTTCACTGTGTAACTATTCATTATACTGCGTATCTCTGATTTGTGCACTTTTCTGCATATTTACTATTTTACCATACAAAAATATTTTAAAATTATCTAAGGCACTTTAATTGCTATAATTTTTTTGTTGTTATAAAGTGGTACACATTTGGTATCAATATAAACTAAAATTTAAGGTATGGGAGCCTTGTTTATATTTGACAAGATTACTGCACACACAGTAGTAAGCAACAGGTAATGATACATATAAATAGGATCCACTGTCAAAACATGTAAGTGAAACGTAGAAAATAGTGGTATCTTTATTAATGATAGTGTACCCTCAGGACCCGTTATAGAATTAAATAATACCAACACGACAGACACGAGGAATTTTAGATTCTTGGTCTTAATAGAAACCATACATGGGTGATAATCTTTCAAAGTTCCTTTACAAAAAATGATAACTTAAAGATTGGAATGATTTTAGTTAATACTGTATGAACAGAATGTAAAAAAGCAGTGCTATTTTACTAAAAAGCTTTACTAAGGTAAATTCATGAATCTTTTCTTAAAATGTTGAATTTATAAGATAAACATTATTTCCAGCAAAAAACAGCATTTAATTGAGAAACCTAAGGCTCTTAATCCGAGGATATCAACCAGAAACCTAGAATAAAATAACCATTTAAAAATCTCTCATCTACACTATAGAAAGGGAAAACTCTGATGATGTTCCTTTTCCAGCAACTCTAATACTCAGTATCAAGGACTATACAATTTCATAACCCTTTCTGAGAACAGGCACTGGCGTTTAGTTAGTTGCAGCACAACGCAAAACATGGAGAGAAATTCCACTCATGACTTCCCAGTTTGCTCGCTCCCCAAAGCCACTCCAGATTTCCAGGGGTAGCGAAGTAAGGACTGACGGTCGTAACAGCCAATATAAGCAATCCATCTAATCCTAGAAGTTGTCAAAATTCACACATGGAGCTTGTCTTCCTGCCTTGACAGGTCCTCTGCTCTGAGCTGAAGCAGTCACCAGAGTCATCTGCAGAGACTCCAGAGATATCGTTTCTCTCTTACACCAGGACCTCATCACCACCGAGTGTAGTCGTCATCCCGCCACAGATCTAGTTTCATCAGGGCTCCCTGCGCTCGTCGGGGATTCGTCGGCAGGCTCGTAGAGAGGCCACGAGACAGGAGCCCGCCTGGTTTCCGGCCTGCCTGGCCTAGACAAGCCTGCCTCCCTTCTCGCAATCCTAGTCTCCAAACCCTTCCATCCTCCCCCTTTCGATTAGCCGTTCGCCACTAGTGCCTATGCTCTTCGTCCTGAGGCCTGCCTACCCCATGTTACCTCTCAGAAAAGGCTGCCCTTACCAGGGCAGAGCCAGGATCTAGCGACCGCAGGACTAGCTTCACAGGCTTCTCTCGCCCCGCAGTCCGACCAGCTTCACCTGCAGCTGCCAACGACACACCACTACTCCCGGCATGCCCTGCGCACGCACCGCCCCTCCCGCCCCAACACGTGACCGCCTTTCGCCTCTGTCCACGCCCACTTCTGTTCCTCCACTTTCTCTTAGGAGGGAGGAGGGGGCTGAGAGTGTTAAAGAGTAGCAACTTCCTCCTACTCCCCGCCCCCGCCCCGCTACCCCCTGCTACAATGTCTTCCGGGTCGCGAGCGCCTCGGAGCATTCTGGGAAACCATTTCATTTCCTCCCCTCCCCCTCCTCCTGCCTTCAACCAACCAGCCTCCCGTCAGAGAGGGACATGCGCAGTGAGTGCCTCCCGTCTCTTCTACCCGAACCCCCCCTCCCCCCCAAGCAGAGAGACCCCAGCAGCAGCAGCAGCTGATGATGAAGAGAGAGGCAGTGGCAGAGGGGGGGGACCTTTTATTTCTATTTTTAAAGGGACAGGACACTAATTTTACCCCACTTCAACCTTGAATTGAGGGGGGTGGGGGGAAGGCGGCTGAGTTCCTTCCCCCACCCTCCAGCCCTGAGACCTGAGAGAGGGATTGAGCCTGAGAGAGAAGGAGAAGGAGTTTCTTCTTCTTCGAAAACCCCCATCCACGACTCCTACCCCCTCATCCCTCCAGTAGCCTCCCTCCCGAGCCCCCTCCACCCTCCTCCTCTTTGGCCGTGAGAGAAGAGAAAGAAACCAAAAGCCTCTTAGCAACACAGACCCTTCTCTGCTGCTGTTGCTGCTGCTGCTGCTGCTGCTGCTGCTGCTACTGCTGCTGCTTGGCCCTGGCTGGAGACATCTCACTACACCCAGGAGCAGCCACTTCCCCAGCTCTCCTCCTCCTTCGCCTCCTCCTCCTCCTTCCACTCCCCCCCTTTATTACCCTTTGTGTCATCCTCCACAGCTCCAGGGAAGGCACTCAAAAGTGGGGGGCAGGAAAGGTAAGTGTGTCTGTGGGGGCTTCATTGCCTTCCTCTGGCTCTGACTTTAACTCCGGGGCAACAGTAGCACCAAACCACATACGCAGTGGAGCTCCGGGGTGAGGAGGGGGTGGTGCTGGGGG